TTAACATTACTGCTACCCTTCTTTGCTAACTCTCTCAGATACTCCAGATTTAATCCATTTATTTTCCCCCACTGAAACTTTACCCCTTCACTTGTTTCGTAGGGCCAGGACTCCAACTCTTTAAATTTTAAAAATCACATCAAGTTTTTGTCATCCGCATAATCCACGCACATTTAAGCAACCCAGTTTTATAAATTTTTCTTCTTCTTTTTTAGAATTCTTACAGAGAGGGTATATCTAGCCATTGCCCGTATGTCAAACGAGCATGTACGGAGGAAAGTTCTTTTGATTTCCCATGGACAATAGAAGAAATAAAAAAACAAGAGCTATTTAGAAAAGGAGATAACAGATGATTTTTATATATCATTGGTGTCGTGAAGTGTGACCAAGTAGTAAAGAAGGACAAGATATCCTGTTACTAAAGTTATGAGAAAAAAAAACCAGCAATCCTACCATCATGCAAAACAGTTATAATACGTCGTATTAAAGAGGGTTGGAAAGTTTTAAAAAAATGCAGTATTAGATGTGGGGCAGAAGTTTGTGGTTATAGGAGGGTGGGGCAGGAGGAAAGAGGAGTGATTGGTGGAATGATGAGTTTATAAAGGGTGTGACAAAAAAGAAAAGTACTTATGGAGGTTTTTACAGAGAGAAATGTTAAGGAAGAGCAGAGTATATGGAGAGTAAAGAGAAGGTTAAAGAGAGTGGTGAGAGATGCAAAAAGGAGAGCAGATGATAGAGTGGGAGAGGCATGTCAAAAATTTTAATGAAATAAGAAAAAAGTTTTGGAGTAAACAAGTTAAGAAAGCTAGGGAAATGGATTTTAGTTAAAAAAAAGATGGGGGGTTTGTAGATGGGAGATGGAATATTAGGTAGAGGGAAGAATTTTTTGGGGGGCTTTTAAATGTTAAGGAAGAAAGAGAGGGAGTAATTTCATGCACTGGTCAGGAGGTATACCATCTTTTAGGAGTGAAGAAGAGCAGAATGTAAGTGTGGGGGAAGTACGTGAGGCATTACGTAGAATGAAAGGGGGTAAAGCAGCTGGAACTGATGGGATCATGACAAATGTTAAAAGCAGGGGGGGATATAGTGTTGGAGTAGTTGGTACTTTCGTTTAATAAATGTATGAAAGAGGGGAAGGTACCTAGGGATTGGCGGAGAGCATGTATAGTCCCTTTATATAAAGGGAAAGGGACAAAAGAGACTGTAAAAATTATAGAGGAATAAGTTTACTGAGTATACCAGGAAAAGTGTACGGGAGGGTTATAATTGAAAGAATTAGAGGTAAGACAGAATGTAGGATTGCGGATGAGCAAGGAGGTTTCAGAGTGGGTAGGGGATGTGTAGATCAAGTGTTTACATTGAAGCATATATGTGAAACAGTATTTAGATAAAGGTAGGGAAGTTTTTATTGCATTTATGGATTTAGAAAAGGCATATGATAGAGTGAAATAGAGGAGCAATGTGGCAGATGTTGCAAGTATATGGAATAGGTGGTAAGTTATTAAATGCTGTAAAGATTTTTTTATGAGGATAGTGAGGCTCAGGTTAGGGTGTGTAGAAGAGAGGGAGACTACTTCCCGTAAAGTAGTCTTAGACAGGATGTGTAATGTCACCAGGGTTGTTTAATATATTTATAGATGGGGTTGAAAAGGGAAAAGTAAATGCTAGCGTGTTCGGGAGAGGGTCGATTAAATTTTGGGGAATCAAATTCAAAATGGGAATTGACACAGTTACTTTTTACTGATGATACTGTGCTTATGGGAGATTCTAAAGAAAAATTGCAAAGGTTAGTGGATGAGTTTGGGAATGTGGTAAAGGTAGAAAGTTGAAAGTGAATATAGAAAAGAGTAAGGTGATGAGGGTATCAAAAAGATTTAGATAAAGAAAAATTGGATATCAAATTGGGGAGGAGGAGTATGGAAGAAGTGAATGTTTTCAGATACTTGGGAGTTGACGTGTCGGTGGATGGATTTATGAAGGATGAGGTTAATCACAGAATTGATGAGGGGAAAAAAAGGGGAGTGGTGCGTTGAGGTATATGTGGAGTCAAAAAAACGTTATCTATGGAGGCAAAGAAGGGAAATGTATGAAAGTATAGTAGTACCAACACTCTTACATGGGTGTGAAGCTTGGGTGGTAAATGCAGCAGCGAGGAGACGGCTGGAGGCAGTGGAGATGTCCTGTTTAAGGGCAATGTGTGGTGTAAATATTATGCAGAAAATTCGGAGTGTGGAAATTAGGAAAAGGTGTGGAGTTAATAAAAGTATTAGTCCGAGGGCAGAAGAGGGGTTGTTGAGGTTGTTTGGTCATTTAGAGAGAATGGATCAAAGTAGAATGACATGGAAAGCATATACAGTGGACCCCCGCATACCGTTGGCATCACATAACATTAAATCCGCATACCGATACATTTTATCGCTAAGATTTTGCCTCGCATACCGCTAAAAAACCCGCTCAATGCTATTCGTCCGAGACACGTCTATGTGAGGCCTGAGCCAGCCTCACATGTTCCGCCGGTGGCATTGTTTACCAGCCAGCCTCCGCGGTAACATCCAAGCATACAATCGGAATATTTTGTATTATTACAGCGTTTTTGGTGATTTTATCTGCAAAATAAGTGACCATGGACCCCAAGAAAGCTTCTAGTGCCAACCCTGTGGTGAAAAGGGTGAGAAATATTATCGAAATACTGTGGTACCATGGTCAACTGCTGATGCTGCTGCTGCTGTATCACTGTCAGTTGCTGCTGCTGCTGTAGGACCGTCAGCTGCTGCTGCTGCTGTAGCACCATCAGCTGCTGCTGCACCACCGTCAGCTGCTGCTGCACCACCGTCAGCTGCTGCTGCTGCTGTACCACCGTCAGCTGCTGCTGCTGCTGTAGTACCATCTGCTGGTGCTGTAGCACCGTCTGCTGCTGCTGTAGCACTGTCAGCTGCTGCTGCTGCTGCTGTACCACCGTCAGCTGCTGCTGCTGCTGTAGTACCGTCTGCTGCTGCTGTAGCACCGTCTACTGCTGCTGTAGCACCGTCTGCTGCTGCTGTAGCACCGTCCCCTGCTGCTGTAGCACTGTCAGCTGCTGCTGTAGCACTGTCAGCTGCGCTGCTGCTGTAGCACCGTTGTTTGGGGTGGCTTATTGAGAATACCAAGAAACAATTAACCCAGAGGGTTAGCCACGGATAACCAAAAAAGTCAGTGTCATCGAAGACTATTATTTCCATTGGGTCCTGAATCTTTCCAGCATCAACCCAACCAGTCGACTAAACCCAGGAACAGGGAAAAGTGCCTGGAACAGTGTGAGTTGGTGAATAAGAAGCTAAAGTGTTGGTTTGAGAATTCAGTAGTCAGCATACGTGTGATAAGGCCTGTTCTGGAAGAAAATCAAAAGGATCTACAGTACTCTGAGAAAGGAGCCCCAAGAACATTCTGACAGAGTCATTGCTGCACTTCAATAAGGTAAGTCATTTATTTCATTGCTGATAGAAGACAATGTTAAATGTGGCATGTACTAATACTATTGTGACATGTATCCTTCTCTGTGTGTGGAAAGATGAATTTATGGGAAAATTTTTTTTTTCGACACTTTCTGGGTGTGCTCGGATGGTTAATTTGATTTCAAAATTTTTCTTAAGGGGAAAATTCATTCCATAACGATAATTTCACATAACAATGAGCTCTCAGGAACGGATTAATATCGTTATGCGGGGGTCCACTGTAAATCTATAGGGGAAGGAAGGCGGGGTAGGGGTCGTCCTCGAAAGGGTTGGAGAGAGGGGGTAAAGGAGGTTTTGTGGGCAAGGGGCTTCGACTTCCAGCAAGCGTGTGTGAGCATGTTAGATAGGAGTGAATGGAGACGAATGGTACTTGGAACCTGACGATCTGTTGGAGTGTGAGCAGGGTAATATTTAGTGAAGGGATTCAGGGAGAAACGTTATTTTCATATGAGTCATACTTTTGGTCCCTGGAAATGGGAGTACATGCCTGCACTTTAATAGGAGGGTTTTCGATATTGGCATGTTGGAGGGATATGTTCATGCTGCACTTTATGATTGGTATGCTTCTGAAACTGTTGTATTCTGAGCATCTCTGCAAAAACAGTGATAATGTGTGAGTGTGGTGAAAGTGTTGAATGATGATGAAAGTATTTTCTTTTTGGGGATTTTCTTTCTTTTTTGGGTCACCCTGCCTCGGTGGGAGATGGCCGACTTGTTGAGAGAGAGAAAAAAAAAAAAAGTACTACTACTAATAATAATTATAACAATAATAAAATATACAGTGGTACCTTGGGATATGAACCTAATTTGCTTCCAGAAGGCTGTTCGAGAGCCGATCTGTTCGAGTACCAAATGAATTTGTTCCAATAAGGAATAATGTAAAATAGATTAATCCATTTCAGATCATCAAAAATGCACTTACAAAAGCACTTACAAAAATACACTTACATAATTGTTAAATTTCATATCCTGAGGTATGACTGAAATAGTAATAATAATATGTTGTCATTTTTAGACATTTTTCATATTTTTTTTCCATATTTTTGTGCCAAATGCTTCAAAATACAAATTGTTAACCCTCTGGGTGGCTGTAGGTACAGCTGCTATCTCAGTGCCGACCAAGGGTCAAAAGGAAGAGGAGGCACGCTGCTCTGAGTGACCGCAGCAGACCCTTAGGACATGTAATTTTGTCGTCTTCTACTGTACAAATTTCTTACACAGTGCCTCGCCTGAAGAGACAGCATTCACATACAATCAGCAAGAAGTTCAGGAAGCGATTAGAAACTATGAAGAAAGCTAGAGAAACGAAGAAGGCAGCAGCAGAGAGTGAGGCAGCTGGCCACCACCACCACCAATGTGGCCACCACCACCACTGTGGCTGCCGCCGCCACCACCACCACCACCACTGTGGCTGCCACCACCACCACTGATTCACCAAATTCTGGCAAATTAGGTCCCAGCAGTATAAGCATTTCCACAAGGATACTTTTTTTTTTAAGAGCAGCTTACCTTCCTGATATTTGCTCCACCCTTTGCCAATGATGTATTTGTAGAACTGACGGAAGACAGAGATTTTAACCTGGTAATTTGATTCATTAAGTTCTTTCAACATTTTCCTGAGGAACGTGTAACACTGGTCAACATCATCCTTGGCACCACGGATCTTTACAATGTCTGACTCTTCACCTAGGAGGAAAAAAATGTTTAAGAATAAAAAAGTTGAAATACAGTGGGTGGAACAATTAACCAAAATTTCTCACATGGGAAAGGAACCTTATGATGATGTTTCAGTCCATCCTGGACCATTGTCAAGTAACAACCAAGAAGAGAGAAGAAGAGAAGACCAGAAGACACCACAGGAGTTGAGTGGGGAAAGAACATAGTAGTAGTAGTAGCATTAGTAGTACAGTGGAACCTCAGTTTTCATGATTAATTCATTCAGGAAAGTTTGACGAACCTAACTGCATGAAAACTGAAGCAATATTTCCCATTAGAAATAATGTAAATCCAATTAATCCACTCCAGACACCCAAAAATATTAACAAAAATACATTTTATAGAGAATAACTATACTTTTACATACAGAAAACATTGAGAAATAAATTTAAATGACTAATGAAATGGATAAATGAATATTTAACATCACTTTTACTTTTACTGAAGACTCTTGTTGGTGTATGGAAGAGAGCGAGGAGGGAAGAGAGAGGAAGAGAGGGTATTGTTTAGAAGGGGAATCCCCCTCCATAAGGACTTAAGGTATCAAGGCCCTATCCAGGATTACTTCCCTTCTTTGTCTTTTACTGGCACTAGGACCAGCTTGAGTCACTGGACCTCTGTTGCACAAAAAATCTATCCAGAGAGGTCTGTTTGTGGCGTCTCTTTACGATTTGCCTAAAATGGGACAAGGCATCATCACTGAACATATTGCAGACATGGTGTAGAGTTTTTTGAAGTTTGAAATGACCTGCTGGTCCATGGGCCGGATGAGAGGAGTGGTATTAGAGGGCAAGAACTTCACTGTGATGAAACTAAACTCCTCCAACAATTGGTCTTCCAAGCCTGGAAGATGAGCAGGAGCATTGTCCATTACCAGGAGGCACTTGAGTGGCAATTGCTTTTCCAAGAGGGATTTCTTCACACTTGGGCCAAACACTTCATTGACCCACTCAATGAAAATCTGCCTCGTGACCCATGCCTTATTGTTAGCCTTCCATATCACACACAATTTACTCTTGATGACATTGTTTTTCTTGAACACTCAGGGATTTTCAGAGTGATACACCAGTAAAGGCTTCACTTCGAAATCCCTACTAGCATTACCACAGTTGCGGACCACTGTCAACTATATGAAAACCGAGCAGATGTACGAAAACTGGGACAAAATTTTGATGAAAAAAAGTCATCGAAAACTGAATCCTACGAAAACCACGGCATATGAAAACCGAGGTTCCACTGTAGTAATAATAGCAGTAATAATAGTACAGGTTCACCATCACTAATCCGGCATCATTGGGACCTGTAGAATACACTTAACCCTTTGACTGTCGCGGCCGTATATATACGTCTTACGAGGTACCGTGTTTGACGTACATATACTCATAAATTCTAGCGGCTTCAAATCAAGCAGGAGAAAGCTGGTAGGCCCACATGTGAGAGAATGGGACTGTGTGGTCAGTGTGCACCATATAAAAAAAGTCCTGGAGCACGCAGTGCATAATGAGAAAAAAAAAATCCAACCGTTTTTTTTAATTAAAATGCCGACTTTGTGGTCTATTTTCGTATAGTACAGGAGGGCCCCGCTTTACGGCGTTTTGCTTTACGGCGTTCCACTAATACGGACATTTCAAATTATGACCAAAACTCGCTATACGGCTCCCCCCACCTGTCTTTCTAATACGGTCACAGCGGCCCACCGAGTTTGTTTACATTCTCCCTGAGCACATCTTATTATGTCTGGAAACTTTCCAAAATTTCAAGTGTTTTAAAGTTATTGTATATTTTATATGTATTGTACTTGATAATTAAACTTGTGTACACCTGTACCTAAATAAACTTACACACTGTGCTGGCATGTAGGTACACATTAAAATCACTAAGTCTCTCTCTACTCTTGATGCAATAATAATAATATAATAATAATAATAATAATAATAATAATAATAATATAATAATAATAGTAATAATAATAATCTCTTGGGCGCATTAATGTCACATATTACATTAATATAGACATTTCCCTTAATCTATGACATTTTTTTCAAAATTATATAAGAAACACATTATGTAACCCACAAACATGATACATGCACCCACAGTATAAAAATTTATACAAATATATATGAGATGTTTACCAAACGGTTTGTAGAAGTGTCGGAAGAATTATGTTTTCTCTAGCCCGTCACCTGTTACTAGGGATAACTGTAGAAAAATATTCCTTTCGTATGCCTTCACTTTATAGCTATAATTCTGTACTAACTTGTACACAGTGTAAGAGTATTTGTTACGTGATTTAATTATTATAATAATAATAAAATTATTATAAGGTAAAAGTTTCACAAACTCTTACAAATGTACATGAATGAACTAAAACTGGACACGTATAATACCGTCTATTTCGCCTGACCGAGTGATCGTCCACAACCTGTTCAGTTTGTTTGTTTACGCTGTCTGAGCTTGGTGTATCATTAAATGTTGTATATTACGTTAATATACACATTTTCATTAATCCATCCGTGATATTGTTTTCAAAATTATATAATAAAACACGATACATAACATAAATACATAACAACATATGTGTAGAGAACCTAGGATAACCCAAAAAAGTCAGAGTGACTTACTTCCATTGCCTTCACTCAGAGCATCATTTCTTCTCAAAATGATGTTACATGAGAATGGGAGTGTTCTTCTTTATTTATTCTACCGATTCAATGTAGAGACAACCTGTACACAATGTAACTTGTACACAAACCAGACGTTGTACACTGTTTACAAAACTTACCTTCGCCTGGTTTGTTTACGATAACTCTGCGCCTGTTCCTCTCTCATGCATCATTCTTTCTCTTGGTATGGTAGCCTGGCTGACTACCATACATACCACACTTGATTTCTTACAATAAATACTACTTGTCTCACCCTAGATTAAGACTATAAATATTTTAAGGTAAGTAATGAGTGCACTATGTGTGTATTGTACTTTTTTATTGTTTTTTGATGCCTGGTTCTATTGCTAACATAATATATGTTAGTGTAAACTTGTTATCTAGTGTTTGCATGCATTTGTAAGTGGAAAAAAAGGGTGTTCCACTTTACGGCGGTTTCCGCTTTACGGCGGTAGCCTGGAACCTAACCCGCCGTATAAGTGGGGCCCTCCTGTATTTATGGTTGTATTCTCGTTTTCTTGGTCTCATTTGATAGAATGATAAACGTATTATAGAAATAGAGGTGATTTTGATTGATTTTACTATAAAAAGAACCTAGAAATGGAGCTCAAAGTAGAGGAAATGTTTGATTTTTGCCAATGTTCAAAAGTAAACAAATGATGCCATTATCCAATAAATGTCCAAATAGCCATTCTAATATGCAGTCATGAATGGGTTGATGTTATTTATACAATTCTTACAGTATTGAAGTAGTCTGCATAATAGTAAGTCTTCTATTTTTTGTTTGAATAAAAATTCAAAATAGAAAGCAAGAGTAATATCAGAGGGGCCTGGAGACATGACTGATGAACAAAGAAAATGTTATTTTAGAGCCAGGAATGTCTGCATTGTTCATTCTGGACCTTATTTTGAAATTGTCATATTTTTAAGTTTTGGTGAAATTGGCCAAATTGCAAATTTCTGACCACATTATTAGGTAGTTGAAATGGGTTTAAATGGGCAGTTTCTTGTACTCAATCGATAGAAAAAATGGAGTTCTAAAGAAATAGCTATGAGTTTGGGCGACTAGAACAATGGAATTAGCCGAAAATAGGGCTCAAAGTGGGCGAAATTGCCGATTTGTAAACAGCGCCGAGGTAGCTAACTTCGCGAGAGCATAATTCCATCAGTTTTCCATCAAATTTCTTTTTTTTTGGTGTCATTACAATCGGGAAAAGATTCTCTATCATTTCATAAGAAAATTTTTTTTTTTTTAAATTTTGCAACACCAGGAGACACCTCAGGATTGGGGGTTGCGACAGTCAAAGGGTTAACCCAAGGCCATATTTAAGCATCAGCAATTTTCACCACTTTACGCCCTATTTTTAGCCCATTCCATTGTTCGAGTCTATCAACAAACTCATAGCTATTTTTTGCTTCTGGATACGAACGAAATTTCAGGATGCGTCCTTACTCCTCAAGGGAGCTTCCTTAATCCTTTGACTGTTTACGCCGTATAAATACGTCTTACTCGCCACTGTTTCTGACGTATATATAGTCAATAATTCTAGCGGCTTTAACCCCTTCAGGGTCCAAGGCCAAAATCTGAAATGGTGCTCCAGTGTCCAAGAAATTTTGAAAAAAAAAAATTTTTCTTACAGAATTAAAGAGCATATTTTTGTGACGGTAATAAGACAAAAAAAAATTTTCTGATCAGTACTTACCGAGATATAGTGCCAAGAAGTTTGTCCAAAATGATGTGGTGGCGGCAACATCGACGAATTCCACATACGTGCATTACTTAATTTAGCGGTTTTTACAGTTTTTTCTTTTCTTTTCCAATTTTTTTCTTTTCCTACTAACATTTGGGGCCTGAGAGACCAATACTGTATATAATGTATATATATAAACTCACTGTATTGAACACAATAACCGCACTAAAGTTATTATCATATTATTGTTTACCACTGTTGTTTATTACAATAAACATGCACAAATCTTGTATAATACTAATGTTCTATCATATATTTACATATTTACAATCACTGGACATGGTTTTAGAACTGCTGGAGCTTGTGGAACTCCTTGAAACAAGGCACCATGCACAGAGGCACCTTACATTCCTCACACATAAACCGCTTAGACATCGGCAGCGGCAGCAGCGACCTCCAAGCTCCGTACTTTTCTCCAACTATCAGAGCCACCAATGCTCCTATGATGACCTAGTTACAAGCAAAACTGCACTACCCAACGTAGCACCCAGAATGATCAAAGATTACCAACAGTGAAACCTACAAATCGAAAATAATAGAGATCAAAGGAAGACTGCCCACAAACAGAAAGCAACAC